TCAGACCTGTGAGAGGCAACACTAGTAACAATTATTTTAATTAGGCCCTGAGATCTTTAAGTCCAAACTTTTTTTATTTTAATTTAATTATAGTTCATGAATACTTGTTTTAAAAATATTACAAACATTAGTTATTCACAAAAGAAAATAATAAATAGCTTCAAAATGAAATACATAGTTCACTGGGCAACTAACAGGTTGCGCTACTAAAATTATTAATCATTATTAGAACAAACAATGACTTGCATTAATGAATGAAATAGTTCATCAGAACAACTCCTAGAGGACGCCAGGTGCATCCTCCAATACACCCTACCACTAGTTATTTACTACACAACCTTTGACAGAGAAGGACCTCCTGTTCGTTAGCTCTAATGTATCGTACCTTTTGATCCTTATCGCTAGTTAAATGTTATTATTGTTTTTACAATTTCAAATTAAGTCACAACTAAAATTAATAAAATACATAGCAATTAATTGAATTTATAAATATATTACATATAAATGCTTCTTTTCACACAGTTCAAAAATAATAAAAGAACAAAACATGAACATGAGTTCTGTTAACAATTACAATTTATAAAGGCCCTAATAAAATATGTTGCAATTTATATCCTTTTCTCCTAAGATATTTATATCGGTTCTCCATGATTTTATGCAAATAATGAATTGGCAAAACAAAGGAATAAAAATACTTCTAGAATGGCTGAACCATTTGTGGATGATCAAGCCCTAATAGATAAAAATGAAGAAGAAATTCTAACTATAACAAAACAATTAATAATAGCAGACAAAACATAGGGCTCAAACAAAATTATAAGAAGTTTAAGTATATATCAGTGAATGTTGATGGAGAAATAAAAATAGGCAAACACCATATAGAGAGAGTACAATCATTTAATCTTATCTCAATTAAAGGACAAACAGAAGAAATAAGCAGACAATGTACCCAGGGATGACGTGGCACTCTTCAAGTTTAAGGATATATGTAGATTCTCGGTGAGCTCAGAGGTCAAGAGAAAACTTTGAATGAGCACAGTACTTTCTGTCATGACATATGGTTGTGAAACATGGGTAATAGACCAGAAGACTTGTCACAAATTAAGGATAACCGTCAGAGTAATGGAGTGATATATTCTGGGAATAACATGATGGGATATATAATCAAATAAATGGATCGGAGCTGAGACTGACCTTTCCGATATGGGAAAAGCGCACATACTTCCGTATACTTCTGGAAAGGTTTCTGGCATAGTACTTCTGTCTTATGATAAATTTATATATGTAAAAAAAATAAAAATGTAAATGTTTTTTCGTTCAAAGCTGCAAAAAAATTTGTCGCTATAAACTGTAGCGCCAAAACGATTTTAACGAAACTTGGCTAAAGTATTCCCCTTGAAACTTTTTCTCTTCAGAAAAGTCCATTTCCTTTTTCTTTTTCTTTTTTTTTTTTTTTTTGTTTATTAATCAAAAATTTTATAATTACCACAGTAATTGAAAATATCATTTGAAGAAGTGATATGATTCTCCTTATGTAGGTCAATACTATTATATGCTCTTCATATTAATTTTTTATTTTCCTCCCAATGTATTCTGAAAGTAGTATGACACATTTCAAATATTTAATTTGCTATTATTTAAAAGGATTTAACTTTTGAGTAATACTTATCACCGTTTATGTTCCTTTTAGAAATCAATTCTTTATTGATTTCAATTTATTTTATTTTTTAATAAATTCTTTTCTCTAACATTATGTTGGAATAACATTATGTTGTGCCGTTTACCGTAGGGTTTATTTCATGAGTATGGTTTATTTTTGCACTACAATTGTTACAACTCTATATTTAATCAAGTTGTTATTAAGAAGAAGCTAGTAATCAACTATCTTAGGAGGGGTATGCGAAATCTTTTGAGGAAGGTGGAAGGCAGCTCTAATGCACACAAAATGAATGCTATGATAAATGGTATAGCGCAATTTCAATGCATTGCCACAATTGGTATTTGAAAATCTTTAACATTGAAACAGTATCATAAAATATTTTTAACTGCATGTGTTGCTTTTACATCCAACTGATGGTACGTTTTTAATAAATATGTATAGCTTCACCTTATATTTTATAATAGTACATATATTAAACCACGCCCGTATTTAAGCCAAACTTTCAAGGGAATGGGTAAAGAACTTTCTGAGATTTAAGAGTTTAAACAACCAAACATTTACATTTTTATTTGCCATAATATGATCAACTTAAAATTGAACATTAATCAATACATTAAATATAACAAAAAATAATAATAAATTAAATATGAAAATATATTAGTGGCTTGATATGAAAGGACGGATTTCTGTCATTTTTAGAAAGCAGAGATAAAGTAAATTTTAGTTTTATAAGTTCAACTCAGATTGTTTCTGATGATTAAGAATGACGGCGTACTCACTCAGATAATTACAGATATTCAAGTTGAATCATAAAAAAAATCATTAGAATTAGTTTTAATTGAAGCCATTTTACAGACAAATTTGTTCCCCAACTTTTTAAAAATGACAGATGTCCTTTGGTATTAATCCTCTCATCTATGCTTTCTATTTTCTTTCTTTTCTATTTTGCCTGGCTAAGCCACAGCAGCGCGTAGCCGGGTAAAGCTAGTATTCTTATAAAGGCCAGCGAATTCGGCATTTCTTCTTCTCCAAATTCCACCCTCTCTAACAGGACCAAAAATCCTTTTCAAGATTAATCTCTCAAAGATCAAAAGTCTATTTTCATCTTGCTTCTTACTGGCACATGCTTCTGGTCTATAAGTTAAAACAGGTTTTGTAGAGAGTGAACTTAGTCCTGTTAGAGAGGAACCTGCTTCTAAAATACTCCGCAAGGCCAAAGTAGCACTATCTGGCCGTTGCTATCCTCCTATTGACTTCTTGAGATACTCTTAGGAGTTGATTTCAAAACTCTCCAAATGTTTTTATTTACTATTTCTAAGCCTGATTTATTTACGGGCTTCTGGTTTATACCATTTCGTGTATATTATAGGGCCCTAAATGCTTGCTAATTTTCTTGTAAATAAGTGGAGCCATGCTGAAGTTATCACAACTTTTGTGATTTTTGGGCAAAATCAAAGGTTAAGCAGCGGAAATTTGGAACAAACTTTTTTTATTTTTGATTGGTATGAAAATTCGTATTTAAAGGTTTTTTGAGGTGCGCAGTACAAATCTCAACTTTTTTTCTCCTTAAAAAAATATTTGAATCCACTTTACTTCTACTTATTACTAATTGTTTCAATATTATACTCATTCTATACTGGTATTCCAAATATATATTTTTTTCTGTACCGGACAGGTATCGAAAGTAAATTTGTATTCACAAAATCTGTTATTTTATGAAGAAAATAAGAATGAAGTATGTATTGTGCATATATAATCATGAAATATATATTTTTTTATATATATTTATATTCTACACTTTATTTATTTGATATTATTTTTTCTAAAATCCTCCGCTTTCCAACGATATATTATACAATTACCTATATGAGCCAAGAACGCTCAATAATGTCTATATCGTCGGCAAAAGCGAGAAGCTGAACAGTCCTATTGAAGATCGTGCCAGGTGTTTGTATTTGGGACTCACGAACTGCTTTTTCTAGGCCCATAGAAACAGGAGGCATGCCATGGCATCACCCTGTCTTACACCCCTTCTCATAGAAAATTCCTCCGTTATGTTGCCCTTTATTTTAACAACACACACCACCCCATCCATTGTTAACTTGGTCAGCCTGATAAGGTTGGAGGAGATGTTGAACTGGCGTAATGCATCGTACAGCTTTTGATGGTCATTCGTGTTGTTGGCTAATTTAAATTCAATGAAGAGCTGGTGAGTTTTGACCTTATATTCCTGTCCCCTTTGCAGAATAGTCCTCAGACAGGATATCTGGTCGATCGTTAACCTTCCTCGTCTGAACCCACACTGGTACCGCCCAATCTCTCACTTCACAAACGGCAATAGTCTGTGGAACAGGACATTTGATAGAATTTTATATGTGCACGGCAGCTGAGCAATACCACAATAGTTAGAGCAGAGCAATACGTATACCTGCTGACTATTAGTTCCGAAGATTCATTTTCAATCTGGAAAAGCATTTTTCTTTTTTTCTCCTTTAATCAGTTATTGAATTCTTTCAAAAGTTATATTTAGCCATTTTTTATAGTTACTGTCAATAAAAGAGAGTTAAATGTTCAAAATAAGCCATATTACAGGTACTTTAGATGAAGACGTATATGAACATTGGCTATAAGACCTCAATGATATTAAATACCACTTAATTATACAATGATACACCGAATTTAATCAAAATCATTGAGTCCTTTTTGAGAAAATTGTAAAAATGTGTTTCACTGTTAATATAAAGTGGCCCTTCCGGTTAGCCAATTTTAAGGGAAAAATTGCTGTTACATTTAATGCATATACCTATCTGAAATAACTAATATCAGTTTCGTACCACTTTTTGTTTTTGAGCTAGATTGTTCACATACAAACACACACACAGACCATTTTGCAGGACTTTTTTTTTTTTGTTCTTCCCTACCTCGCCTTTTAGGCTATACGGGATTTTCCCGGGCCGGAGGCTGAGGGCGGGGAATTTAAAATCCCCTCCGGCACCGGGACGCGAACTCGTACTTTTTAAATCTTCTCAAATCTATAATCTGGTTGCCAGGCAACTCGCTGTGCTGTGCACACGCTTTAGCCCATTCAGCCACCCCGCCCCACCATTTTGCAGGACTTGGTTATTTGGACTCAGGGGACCTCAAAACATGTATTTCCATTTAATGCTCGGATTCTAAAATTTTCAAGATCACAATAATTTCCCTTACTATATATTTCATATATAGGTAAGTGAAAGTAAATAGTATTAGAGTGTTTCATTTTCAAATGTTCATCATATACTTAGTAATTATGAGTTATCTCATTCCTAGTAATTATGATTTTTTTTTCTATATTTTTTAGGTTAGTAGTTAGAAAACCAGGCCCTAATCAAGGCAAAGAGTTTTATGCTTGCTCCAAATCTCAGGCAGATAAATGTAACTTCTTTCAATGGAAAAATGAAAATGCAGAAAGTCACTTTAGTAATACAAGCAATAAACAAGATCACACAAGAACACCTCAACAGTTTCGAGGAAGAGGTATTTCTATATTTTTTAATAGTGTATTCATAGGGATTTACTGCGGTATATTTATTTCTTTATTCCTCTCTTGTCTCCTGGCTACATAGGTTTTTCAGAGATGGCGTATCATGCATGTGTATGGTTAGACATTACAGATAAACTGTATGCCACCCTGGTCAGGGTGGCCAAGTAGGCTAACTCCTGCAAAATACCTGTTTTCTAACCAGCTGATAAACCAAAGATTAAGAGTTCAAATCTTGGTGCCAGGGCCTTTACACACTGCCATTAATCCCGCTTTACACTCTGCCATTAGTGTGCCAAGTAGTGAGGAAGATTTCAAAAGTTTATTCGAAGGTCTGGGATGGTTTTCCAAGATATTTATATTTTGAATACCAAGATAATAAAATTAATCAGCAGGGAGGGATGGCATTGCCCCAGAACTAATTAAGTTTGGAGGACCAGAACTATAGAAACACCTGCAGAACCTCTTTAAAACAGCTTTTTCTCAAAAAACTGTGCCGAAGGAGTGGGAGTATAATTCATGAATGAAATGGGATTATGGAAAAAACCAAACTGTTAGCTTCAAATTAATGACTCATGAATTTGCCCATCATTTCGTGCTGTCAACTAATTGTGGGCAGACTATGTTCATGACCATAGTTGTTGACAATAATTATGTTATTTATTACAGATGTAAATAGAAATATTATTAGTCTAGGTTACTGATGTTAATAAAGTTTTTATTTTAGGACAAAATAGTGCACGAGGAAACCAAAGAAAATGCCGACTTTGTCATCAACCAGGTATTTACAGCAGATTAAGCTATTTTTATTATTACAGTTGTTTGTTATTCTTCATTAACCATTTCCTACTACATTTTCATTAAATGATATAAATTACTTCGCCAATTCATAAACATCTAATTTCCTCCTATCTTTCCTATATTCCAATCCAATAGGTACTTTTCCCCTGTTACCAGGAAATAAAATATGTAAAGTTGAATCCAAGTGGCCTAGGTGCTTCCTAAGTAATTGAATTTTGATAATTTTATTTGTTTATGTTATATTTCCAATATTCTACTCACAATATAAATTGATTTTATCAAGGAATACATGAGATTAAGAATAAACTAATTATGAATTAAATTAATTTAAAAAAATATTATTACTGAAATGTGAATGATGTAATCAGAATCATACATTTAACCAGAACAATCTTGTGGAGCAGATTTTGAATGTTCAAAATCTCAATTTAAAGCATTAATTTTTGTGTAGATCTGGAATATAATCATCAAATTTAGTTCAATAAAAGTCTATAATTCTTAATTTTTATTATATGTGTTTTCTTACATTTAATCTTTGTAACTTGCAGAATATTTGTTGTATTTGGTTTACTGTGCAAAAAATAGACTTTTTTACTATCAATGAGTATATGATTACAACTAAACATACTTAATTATCATGGCTGTTTATACTGATAGTATACCCTGTTTTCTTGATTACAAACATAATAATTTATAAGTAGTTAATGTAGCAATTTTATTTGTTCTTACAAAATTGTTTTAATCTAAAAATACTATTTCAGTCAAATTTTGCTTCTCTTCAAAAATTACCAACCCAGACAGTTGATTGGTCTGCCCTTGCATAAAACCATCATCTTAATAATTCATTATAATTATGTCCTTCTCTGTACAAGCCTATTTAGTTTTAGAGCAGGGAAAGTGTTAACTTACCGAGGAGTCATATGGTGTTAAAGCCTGCACAAAGTTTTTTCTTTATTGTTCTTTAAAAAGTAAACAGGGTGCAAATTCAATAAAATTAGTGTCATTAGTCCTTTTGTAGAGGCATAAGCTATTTTTTACCCAGCCCATAAATGTTTTATTATATTTTCTTTTCTTTTTTTTTGTTCATAAATTCTTTACCTAATTACAAATAATGTATGTGTACAGGTTTCTGTTCATAGTTATTAACTTGTTAATTTCATAACCTCACTATGAATGGAATTGATTTACCTAGCCTGCATTCAAAACATCCAAAAAAAGGCAAAATGAAATTACCCTCAACAATCTTAATCTATCATTTGTTAATATTTAACTAATAACAAGTTACTTTGTTATCAGTAGAAAAGATAACTCTAACCACACAAATATATCACCTTTTTTTTACTTTCACTTACCTATATATGAAATATATAATAAGGGAAAGTATTGCGATTGTGAAAATTTTCGGGTGACAAGCTTGAAAGGGGTTACCTTGAGGAAGTACTTCCCCACAGTTCTATCACGTTTGGAAGCCAACTGGATCCTCCCAGATTACTGGATCTCGCAATGCCTTACAGGGCATGGGGGGTTTCGAACCAAGCTTCATGGCTTTAGAAAAGACATCTTTCCCCTATGCTCTAGTTGTGGGGTCCTGGAGACTGCTAAGCATATCATCATGAACTACACCATGAGTCGCTATGGACTAAATTGCTGAGGGAGACTGCTCTGTATGAACTCACAGAGAACGATTTCCCTCAGCTAGTCGCACAAGAAAACTACCTGTACTACAAGGAATTTATTTATGGGCTTAAAGAAGCAGTTGGTTCATCACACTTTAACTTTGCTAGAAGAGGACCCGCTCCAGGAAGACTTTCGGAATGAGGAGGAGCAGAATAAGAAGAACACAGACAAAACTTAACAGCATGCTGATTATAATATAAAAATTAGTTTTGTGCAGTAATGCATAAAAACTTAGTTCTGCAAAACCCATATTTCCTCAATGTCACGGAAAGGCTTAAATAAATAAACACAAACACATAAACAAATTAATTTTAAGTTTTCAACATATTCGTTCGTTTCACAATAATTAGATTGAATTTTTACACATGAAAAAATTCCTGCCATTTTTTATTATTATTTTCTTTGTCCATTGCCCCTCCAATCAAAATCGAAATTCGGAGCCTATTGTGTATATGTATGTATGTGAACAGTCTATCTCAGAGGTCTCCTAACTTAGCCCGTGGAACACATTTAGATCTACACTAAGTCCCACAGGTCACATCGAGACCTCCAGCTGTCCTTAAGGCCATGGCTTATGTTGAAAAAAAAGATCATGTTCTATGAATGACACTTCAGTAGTGAAATATGCTTTCCAAGAGAAAAAAAAATGCTATAAATGTTGTAGTAACCTCTTATGTGAGTCATTTGCTAAATTTCATTTTTTTTTTTTTTTAATTTAATTTTACCACTGATCCTTAAGACCTGTAATGCTGCTGTTAGAGGTGCTGGGGTATCCTGGAGTCCTGCCTTTCCTTCCATGAGTGGGGAAAGGCTTGGCTCCGAGTTCTAGAGTGAATGAATTTTGTAAATATTATATAAAAGCATGTGTATATTCAAGGTGTTATTTTGATTAGTTTAATTTCTTTTTGTTTGTATACATTTACTTTTAGTATTATCATTTTACTGTTTAATGTATTTTTATTTATTGTATATAGTGTGAATGAGCTATTCTATCACTATTACTAGTGTTCTTGTATGTAATAGAGTGTGATATTTCTCAATAAAGCATTGAAAATTTTACATGTCTTCTAAGAAACTTTTCACTTGCCAGATTAAAGGTGCTTGCAGGTTGGATCTGTCCCACAAGCCGTAGTTAGGAGACTCCTGGTCTAGCTCAATAATGAAAAGTTGTACAAAACTGAAATAGCATATTTCAGCATAAGATTTGTGTATGCCTGGGATTTTACTGCAACATTTTCATCAACATTGGCTAACCAAAAATGGCACTTAATATCATCAATCTTACACATTTTTTTTTCAAAAACGGCTCTAGCAATTTTGATTAATTCATTATATCATTGTAAAATTAAGCAGTTTTTAATATAATGCAGCTTTTATTCTATTTGATGTTCTCTAACAGAGCCTAAATGCTTCATTTTCAAAATTTCTTCGTATAAAATACCTTTAATTATTTTTATTTAAATGATTTAATACTTTTTTTTTGTTGAGTAACATGGATGCACTGTGGCCATGGCTCTCCTCCTCCAGTTGCTTATATCTAGATTTTCCAGGAAAAAATAAATACCCGAAAATTAGGAACAATCAATAGTCGTTCCAGTGTTTAAGAAGAAAGGTGATCCCATAGAGTGCAGAAATTACAGAGGGGTCAGTCTCCTGAATGTGGCGTAAAAAATATTTGCTTCTGCTCTAAACAACAGGCCAATACCCTACATGGACAGCACAGTTGGTGATTACCAGGCAGTTTTTTTGTAAGAACTTGTCTACAATAGATCAAATTTTCACCCTTTAACTACTGGATGAAAAAATGTATGAATTTGGCCACTCCTTGTGGATATTATTTGTGGACTTTGAGGCAGCTTAAAACTCCGTGATTAGAAAGAAACTGAAAATCGCAATGAAAGAAATGGGTATCCCTAGAAAACTCATTGAACTAACTAGGTGTACCATGGAAAATAATATATGCCAAGTCCGGTTAACAGTAGTTGCTCGTTTGATGTGAACACAGGGCTGAGACAGGATGATACACTGGTAACACTACTATTTAATCTAGTACTACATAGAATTGTTACCGAGTTAAGACTAAACCATGGCAATACAATATTTACAAGAATGATACAAATCCTAATGTATGCAGATGATATAGCAATTATTGGGAGATCACAAACTGCTGTGGAGGAAGTGTTCTGCAAGATAGAGCAGGAAGTGGAATATATGAGACTAAAAGTGAATCAAAATTGTGTGCATTAGGAATCATGATGTGGTTCCATACCTGCGAACTACTATAACAAATAAGATGGAAGAGGAAGCTGAAATAAGATGCAGATTAGCAGCAGCCAACAGGACATATTCCTCTCTATCTATAATTATTAGAAGCAGCTTAATCAGTCACACTACAAATATAAGGCTGTACATATGTCTCATAAGGCCAATAGTAACTTACGCATGCAAAACATGGACGCTCAACAAATCAGTTGTCCAAAGGCTTGATGGCTTCGGGAGAAAGATTTTGAGACGCATCTTTGGACCAGTCAAAGAAAACTAAGCTTGGTGTCTGTGCCAAAATGTGGAGTTGTACAGTGAATACTAGGGCTTGAGTATCTCCAACTGCGCTAGGTTGCAGAAAATAAAATGGATTGGTCATGTTATAATGATGGAAGACTATAGGTGCCCTCTAAAAACATATAGAAGCACACTAGGTTGGAGAAGACCCAGATCACGCTGGCAGGATGTTGTACTCACAGACATAAGACAAGCAGAAATGAGTATATATCACATGCTGCAGATAGGATTATTTGAGGCAAAATGATCGAGCAGACCAAGGACAGCTTTATGGATCTGTCGTGCCTTTATAGAAGAATAATAGAAAATCTCAACTTTCAGTTGAGAGCAAACTAATAATACGGACAAGACAATTCTGAAACCTATCTGGCCCTGTGGACTGGAACTATGGGGGATAGCAAAACTTTCTAACATCAAAAACATTCAATCCTTCCAGTCTAAAGTTCTTTGAACGATAGTCGATGCTCCCTTCTATGTAACCAATAAAACCCTACATAATGACCTTAATATCCCATTTATACTTGACCTAACCCAATACAAATTTTCCAAATTTCATCTGAACTTCACTCATCATCCTGATCCTGTAGCAGTATGTCTATATAGCTCCAGCCATCCCTGCAATCCTCCTTAGAGGTTAAAACAGCTGTGGCCCTGCGACCTTTTGTAAATATGTGTATATTGGAGTACTGGCAATGGCCAGATTATCCACTCAAGTCCTGAGCGTCTGTTGGTCGAGTGCTAGTGCCCTCCATCAGTCTCCACTGGCTTCCAATACCAGTGACGCAACTGGCAGAGAAGCACTGGGATCTCCCGGAGTCCTGCTTTGGCTTTCACATTATGGGGACAAAGCTTGATTCTGAGTCCCCTTGGCCAATGTAAATATTGTACATAGGTATGAATGCGTTTTATTTATGTTGTATATATGTATATTAATTCTCTTTATATGTTTTACTTTATCTTTTTATTTATCTATATATATGTTTTTTTATTATCTTTTTACTTTAGTTATTTATATTTATTTTTCTTTCGTATGAACATATTGTGTGAATGAATACGGTAGCCATAGTACCAATGCCCTTTAGTATGGCAGACTGTATTGATACTCAATAAAATCATTAAAAATAAAAAATTGTGTTAGAGAGCTTTTGATCCATCTTTGCATTTCTGCTAATCACTGTCCCAAGGTATGTGTTTTCCTCAGCCATTTTAAGTGCTTTTTCGTACATTACCTTTCTCTCGGCCAACATGCATCACTTTACGTTTATTTGCATTAAGCACCATTCCCTTCCTCTCAAGCTCAGCTTCCCTCTTGCTGACCACTTTCTATATATGCTCTTTTGTGTCAGCATCAGGACAATATCATCTGCAAAAATCAGAACTTGAGCGAGAATTGTTCTCATATTCCACATACCAACTACAGTCCGTGGGGTCTTCCGTTTTCATATTTTTTGGATTTCGTCCATAAATATGATAAAAAGGATAGAGCTAATACTGTTTCCTTGTTTAACTCCTTTGCTCATATTAAAGGGTCTGGATTCTCTTCCATTAATGCTAATAATCAGTTTTGATAAGTGGATTTTATAGCACTAATCAACTTAGAGGTAATGGAGGTCCAGGTGTCTAAAAAAATGATAATTCGTAGGCGAGATGTCTGAAAAGTAGGCGGATGTGGCAGAGTTTCATATCCAACCTCTAACAATTTTTGTGACGTCACACATGAGACATGTGGCCAGGCGTTGTCATGCAACAAAATGGGCCCCTTCGGATTGACCAAAGATGACTTCATTATTGCCAATTTCTGATGGGTTGCAATAATTTGGTTACAGTATGATTCAACATTGATGGTTTCTCCAGGATTTAAGAAGCTATAGTGTATCAAACCAAATGAAGCCCATCAAAGAGTATCCATCACCTTTTATTAAAATTGTTAAAGAACTGACTATGTGTTTCGGCTATTTAGGGTCTGTTTTTGTCATTGTTAATTAGATAGGTTGAATGTCGTATGATGGAATCCCACTACAATCCTTGTAACTTCATGGATTTCTTGTCTGGATCCGAAAATTGCATCATTCCTTGTCTTTCACTAATATATAATAACAGTTCTGGAGTATTTTTTAAACTAAATCCTCCTTTTTTGAGTAATTCAACTTACTCAGACTGAAGTTCGAGGTCTTCTTCAATAGTGTTCACACCAGTTAGAATATTATCAATATAAATGTAATTTTGTAAGGTTATCAGAGGACTTTGGATATAACAGTTCTTCATCTACTATTTGCTGATGTAACACATGAATTGCTAGGTATGGAGAGCACAATAAATTTGGTTTGGAAAGTTCTAAATCTGATTTTAAAAAATCCAAATTTGCTTTGGAAAATTCTAAATTTGATTTGAAAAAATCCCGATGTGGTTTGGAAAGTTCTAAATTTGATTTGAAAAAATCCCAATTTGGTTTGGGAAATTCTAAATTAGGCTTGGAAATGCTATATAAAAGTTTTCTAGAAAATAAAATACCTAAAATTCAAATTTTGTTCCACTGTGCAATAATGGTAAAGGATAATCTTGCTTTCCTTGTCATTGTCTCCTGGGGGGTGTTGCATCTGTGAGGTATGTATGAACTAACCAAAGATCATGAGTAGACCATTGGTGTCATTCCGTCAGTGTTGTTCCTAAGCCTAACTTTTTTCACACTGTCAATAAATTACCTGGCACTCAATATAGCAAGAGGTGGATAAGCCATCAATGTTTGCATACTCATTCAGTTAAAAATTATTTTTTTTATTAAGTCATATAATAACTTTTTCCTTTAAGATGCACCATTTAGGAGTGATAAGTACAGAACTAAAAAAAAATTCCTACAATTTTCAGATTTTTTATTTACTGCCAAAAGTTTTCACCATTTAATTTAGCATGTTAATGTAGTACAAACCATGTTCTAGTTTTTAGATGTTTACACTAATATATACATCTTCAAAAAAAAAAAAAAAAAGCTTCTTCCACCCTTTGAAGTGTACTCTATCCATCCAAAAAACAGCAGGCTACCTGTCTAAGATAAAAATCTGAATAAAATGTTTTATTTATTTTACTATTTAACTTCTCTGTTTCTTTTAGGTCACACCAGAAGGAATTGTCCCCAAAATGGAGAATGAAACAGAAGATATTGCAAATCATAATAATGTTTTATAATTGATCCACAGTGATTGCTGCCTTTAAACTGATTTCCATTAATTTTGCATCATAAAAATGAAAGTATATGAATTCATTTATTAGTGATTAAGAGAGATAATTAAAATATTTATTTATTTCAGTATTTAAAACTTCACACTTGTAAAAATTGTGTTATTATTATACATTCCATTGATTCAATATGAAGTACAAAAAAGCAAAGATTAATTTCATTTAAAAAAAATTTCCTGTAATAGGTTTTGAAGATTGTCTCACTTTAAATCCTTTCACCCTCTTTGTAAAATGCAACACCTTTTCTTTGATCAAAGTCCCATGTCACTTCTGTGAGCTGGAAACAAAAGTAAGTTTCAAAAATTTTTTATCAGCAGTGTATATATTTTTATATACATTTTATAAATAGTACAATGTATTATGAACTATACCTTATGTATTATTAATTCTTACCAATTTGTATTTATTTGTGATGCTGTAAATTAAATAATTATTTTCAAGTAAAACTTATTATTTATTTCCTAATAATTTAAATTTCATGAATAAAATTAGACATGCGAACATTGGTAATCCAAATTTTATTCTTAAATCTCTTCAAGCAATCTCATTTTATCAGCAAATTTAAAAGGTTACTCAATATAACTTTATGGACAAATATAGCTTCTTCAGGTTCAATAAATAAACAGGTTACTACTAAAATTTAAAGGATTCTGAATTAGACAATATTAATACATCTTTTATTCACAGCTACCTAATATAACTAAAATTCTAAGCATTTAAGCTCTAAATTGACATCTTCTCTTGAATTACTTCAACTATGCACTATGGGTACATAGAGATGGCAGTACTCCATTACTTTCATGATTTAAGTAATTTTATTAAGAAAAAGTATCGAGTAGTTTTTGTACTCAGCCTGACATCGGCCAGTACTGAGAGTACTCACGCAGCGTTAATCATGATTTAGTTAAGTACAGAAAATACTCGCTTTGTTATATCGAATTACAGAAAGTACTCAGCCGAATTCCTACAAAGAGTACTTTTTATTTTTCAACTACTCCGTCATTAATATAAAGAGTAAAAATGTTTTCTTTTATTTTCTTCATTAATAGCGGCCATATTCAACCTGACCAATTCTAACCCCCCATTAATCGATATTAGACTAACCATCATGTTTTGGGGGCCCTTTTTATAAAAATATACTATCGGATTTGAGATAGTGCCCCCGGACATCGAATTTTCATAACTTTTCCGATTTAATCGATTCCAGGGCCGACTAATATGTTTTGGTGGGCGCTTTTTATGAAAATGTTATCGAATTTGAAAATAGGCCCCCCGGGCCTCGACTTTTTTTAACTTTTGGGATTAAATCTATATCAGAGTCGACTATTATGTTTTGAGGGGCGCTTTTTATGAAAATGATATCGAATTCAGGATTGGTCCCCCGGGCCTCGACTTTTTTTAACTTTTTGGATTTAATCGATATTAAAGTCAATTGTTAGGTTTGTGGGGAGGCTTTTTATGAAAATGATATCGGATTTGAGATTGGGTCCCGGGGACCAACTTTTTGTATCATTTTTAGATTTAATCGATATTAGAGTCAATTAATAGGTTTTGGGGGGCGCTTTTTGTGAAAATGATGTCGGATTTGAGATTGGGCCCCTGGGGCCCGACTTTTTGTAACATTTCAGATTTAATCGATATTAAAGTCAATTGTTAGATTTGTGGGTGGACTTTTTATGAAAATGATGTCGGATTTGAGATTGAGCCCTCGTGGCCCAACTTTTTGTATCATTTTTAGATTTAATCGATATTAGAGTCAATTAATAGGTTTTGGGGAGCGCTTTTTGTGAAAATGATGTCGGATTTGAGATTGGGCCCCCGGGGCCCGACTTTTTGTAACATTTCAGATTTAATCGATATTAGAGTCAATTATTAGGTGTTGGGGAGCGCTTTTTATGAAAATGATGTCGGATTTCAGATAGTGCCCCCGGGCACCGACTTTTAGTAACTTTTCTGATTTAAAGATATCAAGGTCGACAATTAAGTTTTGGAAGACGCTTTTTTTGAAAATACTGTTTGCACCCAGTGGATTCACTTTTTGGAATTAGTCGATATCAGGGCCGTCTATTATGGTTTTGGGGACGCATTTTATAAAAAAAAAATCTGACATCATTTCATAAAATTGTCCCCCAAAACCTCATAATCAACATTGATATCGATTAAATCCGAAAGGTTACAAAAAGTCGGGCCCCGGGTTCACTATCTCAAAATTTATGAAAATGATTCATAATCCGATATCATTTTCATAAAAAGCGACCCCCAAAACATAAGAGTCGATCCTGATATCGATTTAATCCAAAACGTTAATATAAGTCGGGGTCCGGGGGGCCCAATCTCAAATTCGATATCATTTTCATAAAAAGCGCCCCCCAAAACATAATAGTCGGCCCTGATATCGATTTAATCCAAAACGTTAAAAAAAGTCGGGGCCCGGGGGAGCCCAATAACAAATCGATATCATTTTCTTAAAAAGCGCCCCCTCCCCAAAACATATTAGTCGACCCTGATATCGATTTAATCCAAAAAGTTAAAAAAAGTCGGGGTCTGGGGGCCCCAATCTCAAATCCGACATCATTTTCATAAAAAGCGCCCCCCAAAACCTGAAAGTTGATCCTGATGTCGATATAATCCGAAAAGGTAAAAAAAGTCGGGCCCCGGGGGCACTATCTCAAATCCGACAGCATTGTCATAAAAGTCAAGTGGTGTAGAAAAAAAAAAAAAATGGTCCCCAAAGTTAATTAAATCCAAAATATTTTAAAAAACTATACCCCCATAAGATAACAATGGACTTAAATATGGAAGAAATATTAAATATTCTACTCCTGTAATTTTTATAATGAAATACTCGATTACTTTGAAAAGTATTCAGAGTAAAATATTCCTGAGTAGATTTGAAAATAGAAAGTACTCACGAGGACAGCTGATTACTTTTTGTACTCGTCAATCATGAGGTCGAGTAGTGATTGAAGTACTCGATACTCGAACCGGGCGAGTATTTGAGTAAATTACTCTGTAATTGTACTTTTTACTCAGAGTACAATTTTGCCCATCTCTATGGGTACAGTGCTTGGTTGAAATAATTTACTATTCTGTTGAAGTAGGATTTTTTGAAAGTGTATTGTAGTTGCAATGCTTTTATTGTTGGGATCCAGAAGTAGTTCTAGTTACTCAGGAGTTCTATGTTATAGGACTTATCTCTTTTCTTAATCTATATAAACAATTTACACCTTAACTCGATCAATAAATACATCAAGCTGTCAATTTCTGCTGGACTGTTAGATATTCTTCTCCTTTCTATCCGAAATCCATTCTGTATTAATCAAACTGGAAGATAATATTAAGATCCAGCATATGGATTAACTAAAATTCGCTTATCTTAACCCAAACCCATTGGATCAAGCCCCCTTATGGATTACTTTGCATGTTCCCCTAATTATTCTAAACAACACTCCCATCCAGAACCTGTTCACACTCCATTCTAAAACAGTTCATTTTTTGTTACTATCATCTTCCTTCTTAGTACTCGCCAACTCCATTGATATCTCCTTAATAATTTCTCCTCCCTTCAACTACAATTGTGTAATTTACAAGAAAAAAATATTAAAATTCCTTTATTACATCAAATATATATTTTACTCTTTGGTGTCAGTTTCTCATTAAATGCAAATAATGACATGCAATGGCACATGAAATATAGATAAGAACTACTTTCTTTCTCAATCTTGTGATTTTAGGGTCATAATTTAATCTCTTCCAAATGAACATTTTCGAGAGTGTTCACCACAGACTTATGTATAATGCACATATAAAAAAAATAAGTTCTTATTTCTAGTTCAACATTGTAACCTTATTAAGAAAAAATAGGTTTACTGAGCATATTCGGGTTTCAAATTATAGTAAATATAATCTCTGAGGAGAATGGTTGGGGTGATCACACGAAAAAACAAATTATAAAAATAAATTGAATATTTAATAGTTGACGGTTACATTACAAAGGAAGATGTTCCATGGTGGCGGTCACAAATAGGCTAAATAGTGGCAAAGCTATGTTATTAAAGCCAACGTTAATAATCGGTGTAATATCCTCTGTTACGCACTAATTCTCTGCACCTATTGAGCATACTGTTCATAATATTGCCACTGATTCCACAAGGAATTTCATCCCATATACATAGCAATACTGCTTTCAGTTGCCGAAATTTAAGAACTTACAAACGGTGGTCAAAAGGCTTTCTCTACAGGGCATCCCACTTGTACTGAATGGGATTGAGATTTCTTTATAATGACTTTAAAATAAATGACGTGTAAAACGTCCAGATTTTCATTGATGAACAACTCTTTCCCCTTCTTGAAATTTCTTGAACATAAAAAACTGCAATGAGATTACCATTCACCAGATGAGAGTTAAGTCTGTCCTCCTGAATAGATTTCACCTCTAGACTGCATTAAAGGAAGCACAAACTGTGGTGGTGCACTCATCCTCGGTTCTCAGTAGAAAATGAAGATCACAATATAATATAAAGAAAGGTGACTTGTTTGTCATTGCAGCATTCCAATTTGTATCGTCATCTAGGCATATACTGCACCATAATCTGTGGAGTTGCCGACGATGCACTGTTGCTGCATGTCATTTTAAAGGGGCATAAGATATTAGATAAACTTCCCACAATAAATTGAGAACGGTTTTGTTGGTATGGGTCTAGACAGAACATTCAACACTTCATTTAAACTCTATTGGGGACTATGAAAAGATTTGGTTCTTGCAGTAATACCAATATTTCTGCCATCCTTTGGATATTAATGTATTAAAATCCTCATCCACTAACAGGTCTCCAATTAATACTTCGGGTTTTTCTGAATCTGGTTAAAGCTCGGAAAACGACAATCTGGGAGACGACAGCTCCTGAAGATAATATTGTGAAGTTATGGTTGATGAGAGATATTACAATCTGTCACAGTTAAGGACATTTATAATAGTGTTCAAAGAGCACATTCACACTCCATTCACAACAATACATTATAAAAGAAAAAGAAAGTAAGTAAAATGAATAAATAAAACATTACATAAATTAACAAAATAATAATAAATAAGTAAAATGTTTCAACAAAGTGAAAAAATATTGAAAAGAATAAATATATGAGTACACACAACAGATTCAAAATAAACATACATAAAAAACAAAAAAACTTTTCACATATCTAAAACAGGTATCAATATAATATAACTTCATATTAATTTAATGTCAAAAAAATAAAGACAAAAAGCGTATATAGTGT